AGGAGCAGGGCACCTAAGTGCTGTGCGACAGTGTCTTAAAGTCGCATCATTCCAGGGTGTGATCAGTCACCCAACTTGACGCGTGGCCACGCCAAGCTTCATCCCTCTGTAAGGTGGCCATCGTAGAAGTCTGTCTAGAAGTGTCCTCTGTCCTCTCTTGCTATGAAACCCCACGCCTTTATGTCCTCTGTTTTTCTCTTCAAGAGATAAAATAGTAGTAGTATTTTTCTCTTGAAGAAAAAAATAGAGGACATAAAGGTGTCCAGTTTCATATCAATAGAGAACAGAGTGGCAGAAAACCAGAATGTCCTCCACAATTGCCACCCTAGTCCTCCAGCATCCCAGGATGCAGCGTCCCCTCCCCCCACCCTCCTGGTCTGTGCAGACAACTCAGAGCTGTAGCTCCTATTCAGGCCCCTGCTTGCCAGCCCCCAGTGGCAAGTCACAGCTGCGCGGATCAGGGACAGTGCGGGCGCGTATGCTCTGCCATGCTGTAATTGCAGCATCATAGAGCAGGCTCGATTAATCAGGTCTGCTAGAATTACTGTGCTCCAGCAGGCTCCTGTGTCTCCACACTTAAAAATGGTGACTGGACGCTTTAAAGCTCACTGAACAAGCTTTAGTTAAAGTGACCCTACTGCCATTTTAAGTACAGGGATGCCGGTACACAAGATGTTCCGGGTGCTTTAAGCTGTTCTAATTAAAGTGCCCCCACCCCTCAGGGAGCACATGTATAAATTCCCTCAAGTAAGATTTTTAGCCTGAATGTGTAACTACTCTCAGCTCAAATTAACCCTAGAACCAATCAATCTTTAAGAAGTTTAAAGTGCAACATGTAACAAGGCCCTTAGTTTCCCTTTGGCTCAGTAGCATGTTCATAATGAAGCCTAATGATTATTAACATGAACATTTTCATCAGAGATTGTTTCAGTACAAACACTTGCCTACCTGTGACCTGAAGTAGAGATTGTAGGTGGAACCTGAATTAGAGCTGTGATCATTAGTGATTTGCCTAAATACATGTTTGAGGAGTTTCCTTTTGCAAAATAAAGCTTATATGATTGGTTGGGCCTTTGGTTTATCAGTTCTGACACTGCAGATTCTGTTGATTTTTATTGGTATTTAAAAATTATTTATAGGATAATATCTGTGTTAAAGTTAGGTCTGAGCAGTGTAACAGAACATTTCTACACAAACAAAAATATACCCATTTTCTTCCATTTTTAGAAACAAATTCAAACCAGCCTGTTTGAAAGTTCTGAAATAGGCAGTGCTTTCTTCTGGGAGAGGAAGCAGGAGCGTAAAATAAGTGAGAGAGGCTGCCCAAGGGGCATTTCTAGCCTGGTCTCCCAGTGATACAAATCCTCCTGCTGAAAATGCTGGCTTTTGTAAAATCTGTACAAATCGGAAGGGTCAGGCATTTTGGCGATGTCATTCATCAGGAGGCAGGCTGACATATTCCAAATAATTTAAGGCAGTGGTTTTCAACCTGTGGTCTCTGGACACCTTAGAGGTCCACAGGTTATGTCAAATGTTAACCAATTAGCTCAAAATAAAGAGCGAGACCTTTGTAAGAGGGGACAAGGCAAGATGCCACATTTATTAAGCGCTTAGTGTACACACACACACATACCCTGAATTCTGTTCTGTGCTGGTATACTTTACCAGTCTCATCGGTGCTTGAGTCAACTTAGTGGCCAGCTAAGTTGATCACGAGTGGGAGCTGGGCTTGCCAGTCCATCTTGTCAAGCGAACCGATGCTCTAGAATGTTATGCAGAATAAGACCCAAATCAGCATGTCTCTCCCCACCTTTTATAGTCTTGTCATTTCAGTCAGTCCTCTGGGCTTTTGCTGTGTTATCACTGTGTTCCTCCTTTAAGGTTGAATGATGTTCTCCTGCTGTTCTGGGGCGGCTTCTTCTTGTTTTGGTCTTTTATCTGTCTGCATTCTTCAGCTAGTTACCAACCGGTGTTTTTCTTTTCCACAAACACACTCTTACCCATGCAGCACACAAAGGAGTAAAATGTTAAGAAGTGCTTATGTCAAGCTACAGAGCAGTACAAAATGGAGTTTCTTAAGGCATTGAAAACTCAAGAAAATACACAAAAAAAGAGTCAAGATAATACATAAGATTAAGGCAATAGGCAAAAGTCTACCTCCATGTTATATACCTAACCTAAAGCTGGTATTTACTCTATTTGCATTACACTAAAGGGTCCATAAAAGAGGACTATAATCATGGAGTTTTCAACCTTTTTTGGTTGGTGTATCCCTGGCGGCCAGTTGAGAAGCAGGGAGTCCCCCGGCAGGTTGACAAGTGTGTGGGGGGCGGTCCCCCAGCAGCCGATCAATGAGTGGGGTGTGGGGTTCCCACGGCAAAACCAGAAGCTCTGGCAGCAAAACAGGAAGTGCCGGTCCACGCTACCACCACATACCCCCTGGGGCCTTCCCAAGTATCCTGAGGGGTACGCATACCCCTTGTGGACAACCCCTGCTATAATCAATGAAAGTATGTGAATATCAATCCACACTTACAATTCCAAGGGATCCATGCCACTGTTTGAGTTTTTTAGGGGTCTGCAAATAAAAAAAGGTTAAAAACCATTGATCTAAGGCAGGGGCGGGCAATTATTTTGGGCAGAGGGCTGCTTACTGAGTTTCGGCAAGCCATTGAGGGCCGCATGACAGGCAACCCAGGGCAGATTAATATTAATTTTCTACATTTTTTAGGGGCCCCGCGGGCCAGATAGAATAGCCTGGCAGGCCGCATCCAGCCCCCGGGCCGCATTTTGCCCACCCTTGATCTAAGGGATTTAAATGAGCATGCTTAAATAGATTCTGAGACAGCTTTGCCAGGCAGTCTTAAACTCCTGTTTAACTCCTGCTCCTCTGAATCTCAAGATTTTTGAGGTTCACTTATTTCAGGGCTTCCCAACCTTTTCTTCAGCATGACCCTATTTAAACATTGGAAATTTTTTGCAACCCCAAAATGATGCAGACAAGATCAACAAGGACCCCAAAATGATACAGACAAGATCCACAAGGATTCATCAAATTTCTTTCATGTCTTATACTCCTTTTGTTTCTTGTTTTCACCCTTGTCATTAATTTTATTGCTAGAGCTCAAAGCAGAAGCTTTTTAAAGAAAAGCATCCATATTAGATCATATTAAATGTATTTCAGCCAGCCAGGATCAGCATACTGATTTTACATCAGCTTCCTGTAATGTATGAGTAACTTGCATTGGAGTTGCAACTGTCATGCATGAACAAATAAATGCCATGCCCGAGAGTTGCATATTTATAAACAGGAAGCATATTCCCTGTAATCAGTCGACACTGTCAAGTGTCTTTGTGACCCCATTTTTTATTGCTGCGAGTGACCCAAGGTTGGGAATCACTGACTTATTTACTTCCTAATGTTTTCCTGTTTAGCCACTTCTTTTTCTTACATCCCTTGTTGACCTTCCAGTGACTATCTGGAAAGGAAGGAACAGGATGCTGGATTGTAATATCTCCTGTAACGGGCTTCTTTCATTCCAAACCCCATTAGCTAATGGTGGCGGCAGCTTCCAGATACATTCACCTTCAGAATCCAACGTCAGCCTTAAACAATTCCAAGAAGCATGTTGGGGGAGGTTGGGGAAGGGAAGGGGAGGGGAAAAAAAAGGCAAAGCTCTATGGGGAGAATTTTAATAGCTTCTCATCAGTTACTGCTGTCTGCATTACAGTCTCTTCTTGGCATGGAGCCTGGGATGGGCTGAGAGCATCAGCATTAAGGATTCACAAGTAGACAGAAGTATGTG